ATTACTAGTATCTTCTCTGATATGTATTTATTGCTGTATCTTTTTTATTATTTTTTTAGTGGTTGCTTGAGAGCTAACAATATGTGCCCTAATAAGGTATCAATGCTAGGAAAGGGGGAGGGTGATGGGGGGATAGTGAGAAATTGGTTAATGAACATATAACAGCTGGTTAGGAAAAATAAATTCTACTGATGTACAGTTGAGCTAGGCATCTGTAATTAACATTAATTTACTGCCTATTATCAAATGGCTAGAAGAGAGGAGATCACGCGTCCTCAACACAAAGAAATGGTTACATTTTGTGATGGCGAGTATGCTAATTATCCAGATTTGATCATCACACATTGTACACAGGTATTGATATTCAATTCTGTACCCCACAAATATGTATAATCAATTACATTTGAACAACAAAAAAGGTGATAATATATCAATGTTTATTTAGAGATAATATTTTGCCATTTTATACTTCACACCTAATCCTTTATATTTGCCATTTACTGCATACCTAATGCTTCCTGCTTCACATTTCCAACTTCACAATTGTTCTCAGAATGTTTGTGTCCCCACAGAATTTATGAGTTGAAATCTAATATCCAATGTGATACTTACTGTTAAGGAGGGGTGACTAGGTCATGAGGGTGGAGCCCTCATAAATGGGACCAGTAACCTTGTAAAGAGGCCCAAAGGAGCTCATTTGCCCCTTCCAAAATGTAGGGATACAGCAAGAAATCAGCAGTCTGCAGCCCAGAAGAAGGCCCTCACCAGAACTCAACCGTGCTGCCATTCTGATGTTAGATTTCCCAGCCTCCAGAACAATGAGAAACAAACTTCTGTTGTTTATAAACTACCCAGTTTACGGTATGTTCTTATAAGCAGCCCAAGTGGACTAAGACAGCTATTAACCTTACAGCAGTATAATTTCATTTATTCATCCTCCCATACTTTCTGCTATCATATCTTTTACTTCTACCTACTTCTGCCTTGTAATATTGTTATTTTTACTTTTAACAGTTGTCTTTTAAGGAAATAATGAACAGAAACTTATTTACTCATAGTTCTGGCAGCTAAAAAAAGCATAATCTTTTATGTTTACCTACTTTTTACTATTACTGATGCTCATCTTTCCATCCTATAGATCTGTGATATCTTTTCCCCTTATCCTGAAGAATTTTTCTTCTGGTACAGTCTTTGTTCATTTGTAATATAGATATTGATACAAAGTTCTGGGCTGAGAGGATTTTTACTTTCAACACTTTAAAGATGCCCTTCCATTTCCTTCTGGTTTCCATTATTTCTGATGAGCAGTTAGGGGTATTTTTACCAAAGCTTCTCTGTATGTAATTTTCTTTTTCTTTTTTTTCCTTCCTAGCAGACTTCACAGTTAACTTTTTGGTTTTCAGCAGTTTGACTGTGATTCACCTAGGCGTAGTTTTCTTTGCATTTATTCTTGAGATTTGATCTTCGATATGTACATCAATGTTTTCTATCAAATTTGGGGAATTTTTGGCTATTATTTATTCAGATACATTTTCTGCCTCACTTCTACTCTCTTCTCATTCTGAAACTCCTGTTAAATATATATTATTTGATAGGGTCCCACAAGTTCTTGAGGCTCTGTTTACATTATATCAATCTTTTTACCCTGTATTCTTCAGATTGGATAATTTCTATTGTCTTCAGTTTCACTGACTCATTCTTCTGCTGGCAAGCCCATCCAGTGAGTTTTTCATTTCAGTTTTTGTACTTTTCCATTCTAAACTTCCCATATGGTCCTTTTTTATAATTTCTATTACTCTGCCCATATTCCCTGTGTGTCCACTCATTAAGTCCAAATAGAACTGCTATAATGTCTTTCTTTGTCTGCTAAATGAAACATCTGGGTCATCGTGGGGTCAGTTTCTCTTGACTGCTTGTTTTCTTAATTATAGTTCATATTTTCTTCTTTTTTTATGTAGCAATTTTTATTATGCATTGGACATCGTTGATTAATTATCAAGACAATTTCTAAAGTCTTTTTCTGATGTGTAATTTTTATTGTACTAGGCAATTTAATTATTGACTGATCACCTTGGATTTGTGTAACTTGGTTATATACTTTTTTAGGGCAAATATATGGAAAACCCAAGGTATTTCCAAAGCTCAGCTAACTTGTTGAAACTCGACCTCTAAAATCTCCCCTGCAGAACTTGGTTAATGGACACAAAGAATGAGTACATTTTCTAATGACAAGTATGCCAGCTATCCTGATTTGATTTTCACATATTGTACACAAATACAGTCAACTTTGTACTCCATTAATATGTATAAGCAATTATGTGTCAATAAAAAAAGAGTGTAAAGTAAAACTAAAAAAATAATAAAATAAAATCTCCCCTGCAGATCTCATCAAGACCTCATATTAGGCTTTGTTAGGACAAATAATGTGGAAATTGTCTCAAGGCAGTGAGATAGGGTAATTATGGGTCTCTCCTTGGGCATTTCCCTTTTCCTGGGAATTCTAGTCTTGTGCCTCCTGTTATCCAGTGTTTAAAAACACTTGGCTGATATACTTTGACCAATTCCAAGTGTGTTTACAGCTGAAGGGCTAGTTTGGTACCAGTTACACTATCATAGTCAGAAGCAGAAATTCTCCTTCTACATTTTGAATTATCAGAATTATCTTGAGGTAAAATTCTTAACTTCTTAATGAAATGATTTGTATCTTTAGGGGTATGATTAAATGGCAGCAGTAAAGAAATACCAGAAACTTTATGTTCATAGAATGGTAATTGTAATTTTCTGATATGAGGAATAATTTGTTTTCTTGCAAATTATGACAACAAAAAGGAAATTTAAGAGAAAAATTTTCTGCCTTAATGTCATTGGCTTCACACTTCTCTGTTTATAGTTCCATTTTACCTTCCAGTTCCTGTCTATAAAAATATGTATATATAATTGTAATTATAGTATACATAAAGTTTTTTTAACATCATGTTATAAAACTTTTTATACTGACATTCTTTGAATGAATAAAATTTTATCATTATGAAAGCAAATATTAATTAAGAATCACTATGTCCCAGAGTTTTTGCTACAAAATAGGGATAGAATTTTTAATAAGAACATGTCTCCAAGAATTTCATAGTCTGGTGAAGGAGAATAAATTGAAAATGGAGTAGGACTAGGTAGAAAGTATAACAATAGAAGCATATACAAAATTCAGCAGTTATGATATTAAAATAGGAAGCTCTACATGGACAGTCAGTAAGCCTTCACAAAAGATGATTTTAAAACCTTATCATGTGGCCAGACTATAAAGAGTAGGGAGAACAGTGGAGAAAAGTCAGAAGTCAGCCAACAGGAGCTGGGCTGTAAGCCACATGTGGAGAGCAGCTCTTTCTCTGAGGGCTCTTATTGCTAACACTAACAGTAACAACTGCCTAGCATTTATTGAGCACCTGGTATGTGCCAGGGATTCCTTAACAACCCTTCATTTGATGATCATAGAAACCCTATAAGATGAGTGTTATTTGCTGTATGTGAAGAGATGAAAAAAGTGCAGTGAAATGACTAGCCCAAGGTCACACAGCCAATAAGTGACAGAATCAGGACTTGTACCCACGTCTGGCTTCCAAGTGACATGACCAACAGAGGTAGATTTCATGAAGTTAATGAAGCTTAAATATCAGAGCCTCTTGCTTGCTGGATTCCTCTGAATGCTGAGAGTGTAGTGTTTGAGGAAGAGAGGGGAAGCCAGGTTATAACCAGAAAACATTTCTGTGTAAGGATTTCTGGAAACTTTCCTAAAGAGGTCTCAAGAAAAAGGCTAGTGATTACTTGTGGTTTATTTTCTTATTGTAAATAAATATTCACTTTTGTAATTAAGCAATATATGTCTCTGGAAGATGAGGAGTTCAACCATCAGAGAAGGCTACATGAAAGAAAATAGCATGCTTATTAACAATTCCATGCAGTTTCATACCACTGAATCATGACATGGGGAGAGAAAAGTAACAGGAGTTTAGACTGGTCAAGGACCATTTCTTGAAACATTTTAAGGAATAATGTATATATAACTATATAATATTCTAAGGAATTGGACTTTGTCCTATTAAAGTTTCTCAACCTCAGTTATTGGGCTGAGGAAGGGCTGAAATTTTTTTTTTTTTTTTTCGTGACCAGCAACGGATCGCAACCCTCAGTGTCGCGCCCGTACCGGACCAGGACCGGCAACGGGATCGCAACCCTCGGTGTTGCCCCCACTCCTCGCTCAGCCAGTGAGCGGCCGGTCTGTATGTGGGATCCGAACCCTCGGCGGGAGCGCTGCCGCACTTCCCAAGCTGCCGCGCTTCCCAAGCGGCGCACTGTAGCAGTGTGCCACCGGGCCGGCCCTGAAATATTTTTATTTTTAAAAAACTCTAGAAGAGATTCAGATGCATAGCTAAGAATGCTATAAACAATGAGAAACCCTAGAAGGATTTGAAGCAAGGAATTGACATAATCAAATGTACATTTTAAAAGCCAATTCTAGCTTAAATGGGTGGGTTGAGGGACTTGTAATAGTCCAGACAGAGATGATGTCTTTTAATGACTACATAACATTTCATCAAGTTAGTTTTCCATAATTCTCCTGTCTTTCAATATTAGTGTTTCTAGAGATGTGTATATATGTGCTGTTACCCAAAAGAAAGTACATATTTTTGTTTCTTTTTTTGGTCATTCTTTTGAATTATTTCACTAGAACAGATTTCCAGGAGTAATTCTGTTGGGTCAAAGGAAATGAGTAGCTTTGGCTCCTGCTTATGAATTATCATAAAGGTTGTAATCAATTTACAGTGTTAACTTCCATGTGGCAGGCCAAATATAACCTTTAGAATCATTTTGGAAAGTTCAAGAAAGGAAAAATTGTTGAGTTTTTTATTAGAGTAATTTTATTTTAGAATTAGCAATAAATTATCAGAACAATGTTATACTGTGTTTTTTGGTAACTATTTAATAACTAAATTTATCTTTAATAGATTGATGAACTCCCAGAAGGAGCTGTGAAGCCTCCAGCAAACAAATATCCTATCTTCTTTTTTGGCACCCATGAAACGTAAGTTAAACTTAAAGTTTCAACAGCTTTAATTTGACTCTGCTAGACTACAGTGTTTTGTTTTTTTGTTTTTTGATTTGGGGGCAGCTGGCTGGTACTATACATTGTTTGTAGACAATCTATAACATTCTACACATTGTTAAAATCATTATAGTCGATTATATAAAATTACCAATATTAATAATATATTTTTCTTAATGTAAAGATTTTTCATCGTAGAAGTCTTTATGACTAAAAACATATCTTTGCTTTTGAAGATCATTTCTGTTTCTGTTTAAATGTTGGTCATCACCCAGAAGTCTTTAGGACACTTTTAAGTCCTAAGTAGTACCCTTACCAATCACAGTAATTTCTTTTGTAGCTCTTGTATATTTCTCTTCTAGAGAAATTTTTTTCATTACTATTTCACAAAGCAAAGTTATGTTCTCTCAGGCCCATTCAACTCATTGGACCCTGAAGCAAACATACCACCTTTTTAAGGTTTTCTAACTGTGTTGGCTAGCATACAGGCTAAATTGCTGAAATAAAGGAACCTAAAAATACAATGTCTTAAATAATACAGAAATTTCCTTCTTTTGAAATAATGCAGAGGTAGGCAGGGTGGGTGGACTACTTTGCTCCAGGTTCTTTCTGTCTTATTTTTCTGTCATTCCCTGGGGTATTGCCCTTGTTTGCTTATTAAAACAGAAACAAAAAATTAAAAACCTGTCTCAGCACCACATGTGCATCTTTCAGACTCAGAGAAGGAGGAAAGAGAAGAGGTAAAAAACAAGTAATTCCTTGTAAGGAAATGACAAAGAAATTGAATATATCATTTCCACTTGCATTCATTCCAGTGGCAAGAACTTGGTCATGTGGCCACATCTAGCTACAAGGGAAGCTGGGAAACATAGTTTCCAGCTAGGCAGCTCTGTATCCTGCATTAAAAATTGGGAGGAGTAAGCCATTAATGAAAGAAAAAAGAGAATGGATACCTGGGGACAGTTGGCTATCTTTGACACACTAAACATGTATATGGTTATTTACAACAAAGAAACAAATAGAAAATTGAAAATATGGGGAAAAGCTAAAAACTGTCAGGAAATCTTATGTGTCTTCAAATCCAAGGTTATCCCTTATCATTTGAATGTTAGTAGAGCCTGCCATGAACTCTTTCTCAGCTTGCTGTCTCTGCCATCAGACATCTTCCTCATTCTTGTCTTGAAAGAACTAGGAGAGGTTTCTGAAGACACATTTCTTTCTTCTGTATATGTCTGTTAGGTCCAGTCGGCCTATAGTAGAGATTAATTTGATGTTTTCTGGTTAATTTTTTGTCTGGATGATCTATCCTTTGCTTTGGAGTATTAAAGTCCCCAGCTATTATGTATTGGAGTCTGTCTCCTGTTAGGTCTAACGATAATTGCTTTATATAACTGGATGCTCCAGAGTTAGGTGCATATATATTTAGAACTGTTATATCCTCTTGTTGAATTGATCCCTCTATCATTAAATAATGACTTTCCTTATCTTTTTTTACTTTCCTTGGCTTGAAGTCTATTTTATCTGATGTAAGTATAGCTACTCCTGCTCTTTTTTGGTTTCCATTTGCATGAAATGTCTTTTTCCATCCCTTCACTTTCAGTCAGTGTGTGTCTTTATAGGTTGAGTTTCTTGTAGGCAGCATATTGTTGGTTCTTGTTTTATAATCCATTGAGCCACTCTGTCTTTTAGTTGGGGCATTAATCCATTTACATGTAGGGTTATTATTGATGTATGGGGACTTGTTACTGCCATTTTGTTATTTTTTTCTCTGGTGGTTTTGTAGATCCTCTTTTCCAATCTTACTGTCTTCCTTTGTGGTTGAGTGGCTTTGATTTCTCACTATTTATTTTTAGTATGTTTCTTATAAGTTTTTGTATTATGGTTACCATGAGGCTTACAAAAAACAATTTCTTGTAAGGCAGATCTCGTGTTGATGAATTCCTTTAGCTTTTGTTTGTCTGGGAAAGACTTTATTTCTCCTTCATATTTGAAGGTTAGTTTTGCTGGAAATAAAACTTTTGGTTGACAGCCTTTTTCCTTCAGCACTTTGAATGTATCCCCCCGTTTTCTTCTGGCGTCTAGGGTTTCTACTGAGAAATCTGTTGATAAACATATTGGGGCTCTGTTGAATGTTGTGTGTTTCTCTTCTCTTGGTGCTTTCAAAATTCTCTCTCTTCTTTTGGTTTTTAATAATTTGATTTTATGTGTCTTAGGGTGTTCCTCTTTGGATTGAATTTGACTGGTGACCTCTGACTTTCTTATATCTGGATGCTGTCATCTTTCTCCTTACTTAGGAAATTTTCAGTCATTATTTCCTTGCATATGCTTTCTAGGTCTCTTCCTTTTTCTTCTCCTGTGGGTATGCCATTTATGCAGAGGTTATTTCATTTGAGGGAATCTCCTACTTGCTGTATTTCTGTTTCATTTTTTCTTTTTTTTTTTTTTAATAGTTGTGTTACTCTGAGGAAGTGAGGTTAGGTTTTTCCTGATAGACACTGTTGGCTATGCAAGTAATCATGTTTTCCTCTTTAGAGAGGTTGCTAGAAAGCTTAGAAGTCAATGTTTTATATATAATAAGTGCGTAGGGCTTTCTGATATCTATTTTTGTATTTGCCTCATTCTTGTCTCCATGTTATGTGTGTACCGTTGTTTTGCTTTGTTTTTAGGAACTGTCTTTAAGTGATCTGGTTGTATTTCTGGGACAAGGCAGGATTTAATAAACCAAACTATCACATTCACACTATATACACCAAAGTCAACCATTTAATAACATTGTGTGGTTACTTTCATTCACTTAGTAAACATTTATTTTTAGGCATTCTGTAAGGCACTGGAAATTAAAAAGTGCCCTTAAAGAGCTTGCCACCTGGTGTAACAGAATCATTCTAGTGATCAGTGTGAAGGATTTTATAGAGCTGTCTCTTATAGCATCCTCAATGACATCATTCTGATATTCAGTTCAGTAAAAGTTCTAACAAAGACTAGTATAATATAGGCCACTGTAATTTTTTTTCTGGTTTTATCATCCAGAGACAGATTTTTTAAATATCTGGAGGAGAACCAACTCCCCAAACCTGCCATAACATTGTTTCTGCTGAACTTTTACTAAGTATTGTGTGTTCTCGAACCTGAGATTATGTTCTCTCCGGCAAGTACTAATGTTCACCCTCTCTCTGAAGGCAGAGATCATGTCAGTGTTGCTAACCCCTATATACACAGTGCTTAATTCAGTGCTTGGCTCATGGTAGGTGTTTTAAGAATAGCTATTTCGGCCCCAAGACATCTAATCACTTACTATACCAGAAAAAAATGGCATGGGTTTTCACATGAGAGGAACTGAAGAAACAACAACTTATGGTGTGGAAATAGATTCAGCATAAATAAAGTAAATACAAATAAAAGTTTAAAGAACAATAATTAAAAATAACTGAATGAATTAGAATTAATTAAATGAAATAAATGACAGGAGGACGGGAAAGTATGTGAAAGGTGAAGATCTTAACAAAAAAGGTATGTTCGGTTCATCTAAAGGAAGAACCCCAGGCAGGACCAGAATTTTCCTCAGAACATGGCTTCAAATCTGTTCTAATGCCCAGGCAGATAAGTGAGTGGAGCCCCAAGTTCTTCTGCTTTATATAACATAATTCCAATAACTCCAATCGTTTTAGCCTGGACAATTTTCAAGGAAGCTTTGGCCAAGGGGAAAAAAAACAAAAACAAAAACATTATCCTTAGAGCATGTAGTTTGAACAATTTTATTTTTTTTCTGTCCTGGCCCTTTAAGATTTGTTAAAACGTACAGCAAAGCTAACCAATTGAGAAGTGATTTGATTTATGAACTTATTTATAATCCAGGAAAAAACAGGTTGTCTATCAGAAGTAAAAACTTGTTTTAGAATAGTTCACTCAGGTTCCCTCTTTCTGGCAACAGCTAATTATGGCCACTTCAGTGAAAGTCATTCCTGAGCAATGATAGTAAAAACATTTATTCATTAAGAGAAGGCTTTCTGTCTTCTGTAGCAGGAAGACCTGCATCTCATACATCCAAAAGTGGTATTAAGGAACAAGATGAAGATAAGGAAAGCTGAAAATTATTAACTCTTTCATCAGAAAATAATAACCATTGGGGCCAGCCCGTGGCGCACTCGGGAGAGTGCGGCGCTGGGAGCTCAGCAGCGCTCCCGCCGCGGGTTGGGATCCTATGTAGGGATGACTGGTGCGCTCACAGTGCTCACTGGCTGAGCGCGGTGCAGCCGGTCTCAAAAAAAGGACAAAAAAAAGAAGAGAAAATAATAACCATTAACTCTGACTCTCGTGGCATTATTAAAGTACAGGCAAGCTTTGGTTAGTATCAGCTGATGTGAACATCAGGCAGCTTAGCCCACAGTTATTTTCTGTGCATAGAGTCAAAGGCTGGAGAAAGTCAAAAGCCAGAATCTAATACTTCATAACAAATTTCTCTAAAAGGGAAATGGAAATATATAAGGTCCATTTCTTTCTAATGTTCAGTTTGTCAATCAAGATTGACGTGTTTTTTATTAAAATGTCTAATAACCTGATAATCTATTTCTGGGTTCAATGAGATGGAATCATGCCGACTGAGCAATTAAAGGTGACCAATAAAGAAAGGTTTGGAGATTCTTAAACAGTTCTGGGATTTTAGAAAGCTTTCCCAGGTGTTTTTATCAACTTGAAGTTTTTTTTTTTTGTTTTGTTTTGTTTTTCCTTTTTGTCTTTTTTCGTGACCAGCAACGGATCGCAACCCTCAGTGTTGCCCCCGTACCGGACCAGGACCGGCCACGGTATCGCAACCCTCGGTGTTGCTCCCGCATCTCGCTCAGCCAGTGAGCAGCTGGTCTGTATGTGGGATCCGAACCCTCGGCGGGAGCGCCACCGCGCTTCCCAAGCGGCGCACTATAGCAGTGCACCACCGGGCCAGCCCCTCAACTTGAAGTTTTGATCAGCTAGACGACGGGAGGGATCAATACTGAGACTCAGGCAGAAAATGGAATTTATAAAGATCAACAGTAAACTGTTAATCTATTGTCTGAATGTTTTCGATATTATCTCTTTGCTGATAATTTCCAAATCTCCAGCTCAGACCTCTTCCCTGAACTCCAGAATCATCTCCCCGACTGCCTATTTGACATCTTCACTTTGGTGTCTAACAGGAATTTGAAGCTTAACATCAGCACTGAGCTTTTTAGATCCAAATCACATGCTCCCCCAAATCTTTCCATTTCAGTAAATATCAACTCTGTTCTAATTCTTTAGTCTGAAACCCTAGAGATAACCTCAGTTCTACCCTTTCTCTCACATGTTAACAGATCATCTTGGCTCTTTCTTGAGAATGAATTCAAGATCCAACCACTTCTTACCAACCGTACTGCCTGTACCCTGGTCCAAGTCACCATCATTACTTGAGAAGCCTTCTAATTAGCCTCCCTGCTTCTACCCTAGTACCCAACCCTTCAGTATATTTTCAGTACAGCATCCAAAGTGATTCTATTAAAATGAATTGTCACTTCTGTTTTCAAAGCCTTTAATGACTCTCATCTCATTCAAAGCCTTCATAGTAACCTCCAAGGTCCTACATAATCTGTGCCCTATTCTGTTGTCTCTCTGACCTCCTTTCATGCTGGTCTCCCTTCAGTCATCTCACTCTAGCCACACTGGCCTCTTCTGTCTTATACCTCAGGGCCTATGTACTTGCTCTTCCTTCCACCTTCTGTATTCCTTCCCCAAGTAACTGCATGGGTTGTTCCTTTACCTCCTGTAGTTCTTTACTTAGATGTTCCCTTTTTAGAGAGTCTTTCCCTGATATGTATATCTGAAATAGTCAAATTCACCCCCAGTTTTCCTGTTCTTCTCTGCTTTGTTTTTTTAAGCACATATACTATGTTTTTTATTTGTTTATCTTTTTTATTTTCTAAACCCGCACCCCTAACACTGGAACATATGCCCCATGAGGGCAGAGATGTTTGCCTTTTTGTTCCCTGCAGAATCCCTAGCACCTCTGGAATAGTGCCTGATATATTATAGATGTTCAATCAGTATTTGTTGAATGAATGAATAAATGAATCTAGTTTGAAATATAACCTTCAGCGGTGTCAGCCAGAATTTGGGCCTCCACAGTCACATTTAGATAATAATGCTAAAGGCATTGGTTTGGATGCTCAGATCTATTAACCAGCCCCAGGATTTATTCTAACTCATTTTTTTTAATGGTGGTTATAATTAATTTAGGATAGGTTTAAATTGAAATAAAATTCTGTGTACTTTACCAATTCTAATTTTTTTCTTGCTTAGTGCCTCATTAAACACCAATATGATTTTTTAATTTATAGAAATAATGGTAAATAAATATGCTAATGTGCAATAGAGTTAAAATCTTTTTTATTCCAGTTTTTATGTTTTTACTTTTTTTATCGCAGTGTTTGTGTTTATATTTATCAGCCAGTGTTTATGTTTTTACTTCAAATCCCACAAAACCCTTACCTATGGTAGATCAACACAGATAAATCTTAGTTTAAGATGATGATTTTAGTGTGGTCAAAGTAGGTATTTTTAATTTTACTTGTATAACTAAAAAACAATTTTAAAACAAGATAGTGATAATTTAAAAGTAAAATCAAATTAGCACAGTCCAGGGTTGCTGGACTATACCCAGCCGTTTTTTCTGCCTCAAAGTATGTGTCTGAAACATCTTGTGATATGTGCCTAATTCAGAGGGTTTATATGTACTTTAAATTTGTTTACTATACTATACTGTGGCACCTAAGCTGATATTGATATTTAAAATATCTTACATTTGAAGTTCATAGTGTCAGTTCTATTTCTAATATATCCCTGCAGTGCATTTCTAGGTCCTAAAGACCTTTTTCCATATAAGGAATACAAAGACAAGTTTGGAAAGTCAAACAAACGGAAAGGATTTAATGAAGGATTGTGGGAAAGAGAAAATAACCCAGGAGTAAAGTTTACGGGATACCAGGTAATTGTTTACTTCATTGTAACTTTCTATATCTCATTTCTTTGGTTTTAACTCTTTTTCAGATCTTTCTTATATGCCCTTTGTACTAATAGTTACCTTGGAGTCAGAATTTTTTTGGCTTAGAGCAGTGTGGATTAAATGTGCATTTCCCAAAAAGATTCAAGTCAAGTGGCCACTAGAAAACTGTGTTTGACAGCCCTTTATTTTGAAAATTTTAAGAGTGAGCTGAACCCTTTCAAATTAATACTTCGTTTTGGGGTGGGGTTTTTTGGCAGTTGACCTCAAATTAAAATAGAGTGATTCTTTTCACAGTCTATGTTCTTTGCTATTTTTTCAAAAATGTAATTAGCTAATATTTTATTATTTCATAGGCAATTCAGCAACAGAGCTCTTCAGAAACTGAGGGAGAAGGTGGAAATACTGCAGATGCAAGCAGCGAGGAAGAAGGTGATAGAGTAGAAGAAGATGGAAAAGGCAAAAGAAAGAATGAAAAAGCAGGCTCAAAACGGAAAAAGTCATACACTTCAAAGGTTACTGAGAAACTTCCCATTGTTATTAATGTTACATACATTTTTATTAAAAGTTTTTAGATTATTTCCAGTTTGTTTATGGGCACAAAGAAATGTAGTAGATTCTGTGCCTTTAAAGACAATAATATAGTAGACAAATAAACTTAGATGTTAGGGCAGTCTGGCTAGTGACTCTTCAGGGCGGATTTGGCCCTAAAAATACCACCTTCTTCAGTGAAGGAGGACTGTTCTTTCATTAAGGATATGCGTGGGCCTTCAAAAAGTTCATGGAGGGCCGGCCCGGTGGCGCACTGGATAGTGCGCCGCTTGGGAAGCGCGGCGGCGCTCCCGCCCGAGGGTTCGGATCCCACGTACAGACCGGTTCCCGCTCACTGGCTGAGCGAGGCACGGGAGCAACGCCGAGGTTTGCAATCCCGTTGCCGGTCCCCGGTCCGGTACGGGGGCAACACTGAGGGTTGCGATCCGTTGCCGGACACGGAAAAAAGACAAAAAAAAAAAAAAAAAAAAAAAAAGTTCATGGAAAAGTGGAATTAAAACAAAATTAAAAATATAAACTTTATTTCCCAACACAAGCTCCATCAAGTTCAAGACATTTTTGTAAGGAGTGATACCAGCCTTTTAGTCCATCCCTAAAGAACTGAGGTTTCTGGGAATTTAACCATGTCAATGCAGCCTATTTTACATTATTAATTGAAGAAAAATGGGTGCCCTTCAGAGATTTTTAAGAGTAGGAAAAAAAAAGAAGTCAGAAGGGGCCAAATCAGGACTGTAAGGTGGATGTCTCTTGATTTCCCATCAAGACTTTCACAAAATTGCCCTTATTTGGTGAGAAGAATGAGCAGGGAAATTGTCATGTCAAAAAGGACTCTCTGGTGAAGCTTTCCTGGGCATTTTTCTGCAAAAGCTTTAGCTAACTTTCTCCAAACACTCTCGTAATAAGCAGATGTTATTGTTCCTTGGCTCTCTAAAAGTCAACAAGCGAAATGCTTTGAGCATCTCAAAAAACTATTGCCATGAGCTTGCTCTTGACCAGTCCACTTTTGCTTTGACTTGACCACTTCCATGCTTGGTAGCCATTGCTTTGACTGTACTTTTTCTTCAGCATCATACTGACAAAACCATGTTTCATCTCATTACAGTTCTTTGAAGAAATGCTTCAAGATCTTGATCCCACTTATTTAAAATTTCCATTGAAAGCTCTGCCCTTATCTGCAGCTGACCTGGGTGCAACTGTTTTAGCACCCATTGAGCAGAAAGTTTGCTCAGTTTTAATTTTCAAATCAGAATTTTCTAAACTGAACCAGTTGAGATGTCATAGTGTTTGCTATTGTTTTTGCTGTTATTCATTGGTCCTCTTCAATTATGGCGCAAACAAGATTAATTTTTTTCTTGCGAATTGATGTAGATGGTCTGCTGCTGCAGGTTTCATCTTCAACATCGTTTTGTCCCTTCTTAAAACCAGTTACCCATTTGTAAACTGCTGATTTCTTTGGAGCATTGTCCCCATCAACTTTTTTTTTTTTTCATGATGGGTAAGGGGATCGCAACCCTTGGCTTGGTGTCGCAGGCACCACGCTCAGCCAGTGAGCGCAACAGCCATTCCTATATAGGATCCGAACCCGCGGCGGGAGCGTCGCTACACTCCCAGTGCTGCACTCTCCCGAGTGCACCACGGGGTCGGCCCAACTTTTTATAAATCAACGATTTCACCATCCTTCCATTCAAGCTTCCGCATAAGTTTGATATTTGTTCTTGCTTCAATTTTAACAGAATTCATGTTGCTGTGAAAGAGGCTCTTTTCAAACTGAGGTCTTATCCTTCTTAGTTCCTCAAACTAAATCCTGTTCAGACATGTTATAACAAGTTAGTATGAGTTTATTTTGGTACAAAAAATTTTTGAAATCCATGTATCTTTTCATAAAATGCACTTTTCATGAACTGTTTGAAGATCCCTCATATGAGTAGCTATGCCTCCTATAGTAACTTCCAGGCAAACTCAATTTAGGAATATAGGAGACAGTATAATTCAAGATTATGTCTGTGTGCTATATATATAAATGTAAAGGTATATTCATACTTGTCTTTATGCTTCAGAGAATTGGCTCTTTATTTATTCAGTTCTTTTATTTCCTGATTACCTACCCTGTGCCAGACATCATACTAGGTATACAGTGGTGAGCAAATCCAACTCCATCCCTGCCCTCATGTAACTTACAATACAGTGGGGGGAGGGGATGCACAGTTTGTAAATAATGGGATGGCATTATTTATGAATGGGATCCAGGAATGGCAGAGTAAGAGGACCTACTTTAGATAAGGTGGCCAGGCTTTTCTGAAAAGGTAAAGTTTATGTTGAGACCTGAAAGAAGGGTGCAGGAGGAGAAGCCAAGTGTAGCATAGGGAAAGGAATGTAACAATAAAGCTCTGAGGCAGGGAAGAGTTTGTCATGTTCCTTAACTGAAAGAAGGCCGGTGTGGCTAGAGAATCATGATCACGGGGGAGAAGCAGGCAAAGGCCAAATAATGCAGACTTGTAAGCCACATTAAGGAGTTTGGGTTTTATTTTAAGTGTAACAATGATTGACAATTTTAAACGGAAAGGTGACATGATCTTAGATTTACAAATTGAGTGTAGGTGTTTCATACAGTAATTCAGAATTGCAATTGAAAAACTGTGATATTGTGAAAATTGTTACCTTTTAGAAACGGAAAATGAGATAAATGGATTCTTGAAGGCCAAAGATTGGTACAGGTTTCACTATAATTGGTCTGTCACGTGATTGAATAAATTGTTTCCATATCGATTCTGGTATTCAATGGCTGGATATACATAGGAAATTCCTTAAAAACAAGTGCCAAGAGTTTATCAGGCTATCAACATTTTATTTTGGTAGTCTATAAAATCTGCCCAACTGTCATACAGGTAAAATTATATGAATGCAGAATTACTTCCTGTGCACCAAATGAAAAACATGTCATTGCCTTGGATGGGGATAAAGTTTGCAAATGACATAAAATAATTAGAATTTTCCCTGTTGGACTATATTTTCCATTGCAGTTTTTTTGTAAGCTGAATTTCTTTTTTGTTTTTTTTTTTGTTTTTTTTGTACTTTTTGAGACCGGCCGCACCGCGCTCAGCCAGTGAGCGCTGTGAGCGCACCGGTCATCCCTATATAGGATCCGAACCCACGGCAGGAGTGCTGCTGCGTTCCCAGCGCCGCACTCTCCCTAGTGCCCCACGGGCTCGGCCCAAATTTGACTAATTTTTAAAGATTCATATTAAATCACACATAGATGTCTTGTGAAGTAGAATGAAAGCTTTGTCCAATTTCACGGTCATCCCTATATAGAATCCGAACCCGTGGCGGGAGCGTTGTCGCGCTCCCAGCGCAGCACCCTCCCGAGTGCGCCACGGGCTCGACCCGTGAGCTGAATTTCTTTTAGCATTTTGTACTTCACTTAAACACCCACTTGAATTAATTTCATTTAGTTTATGATTGCCTGCTGAGCTTCTATGTAATATGTTGTGCAACCTTAAATTATCTAAGCTACCTAATGTTGCCTAGGCATTTAATAGTGTGAATATGTGGCTTTTAAATGACATTATATCATTGATTGTTGCAAAGACCAGAAATAATGGAGCTCATACCTTGGTGGACCTCTAGTTTAAAGCAGTAAAAGAATAAAGATGTACTTTACTTACTAAGGTTTATCTATTAAAAACTAAAAGATTATTTTCTTTGTATTCCTTCAAGATTACAATTTCCATGATCACTTAAGAACCATGACTTTTTTTTTTTTTTTTTTTCCTTTTTGTCTTTTTTCGTGTCCGGCAACGGATCGCAACCCTCAGTGTCACGCCCATACCGGACCGGGACCGGCAACGGGATCGCAACCCTTGGTGCTGCGCCCGCACCTCACTCAGCCAGTGAGCAGGAACCGGTCTGTATGTGGGATCCGAACCCTCGGCGGGAGCGCCGCTGCGCTCCCAAGCGGCGCACTATAGCAGTGCGCCACCGGGCCAGCCCATGACTTTTTATTTTTAATATCAATTCAGTAACCTAGCGTTAGTAACAATGGTTCTCAAACTGTAGAATGCATCAGAGTCACGTGGAAGGCTTTTTAAAACACATATTGTTGAGCCTCACCCCCAGAATTTCTATTTCAGAAGGTCTAGGATGGGGTCCAGGAATCAAATTTCCAGGTAAAGTTGATACTGTTAATCTGGGAGCCACATTTAGAGAACCTCTCACCTAGTATAAATACTTCATTGTTCTTTTTGGCTTCCCAAATGTTTTCTTTTTTTTTTACGTCTATTTCTTCAAGCTGAATAGTCTTACTTTACACTTAAAGTTAGTGGTTCACAAACATTTGTTTACTACATTCTAGATAGGTGAGGGAAAGGTGCCACATCTCCTATACCTTAAATAGTTTCACTTTTCTGTGAAAAAAGAGCTCAGTAATCATAATAAAAAGTCATAGTGTAGCACGTTTGAGGGGGATTATATATTTGTTTCTTTAGCAGTAAGGGTATGGATGATTCATATTTGAGCCATAACAGATTCATAACAGGAAAATTATAGATCAAAAATATTGACATACAAATTATTTACTATATTCAGTAGAGCTAATGAGAGCCTCATAACAAACCAAACTGATGATGATGCTAAACCACCAGTAATTTTAGTTAAAAAACAAAGATAACAAAAATTAGACATACAACCAATTCAAGACCACACTGAAGGACTAGCTGATTAGCACAGTTGGCTAGAATATGGTGTTGTATTCAAACCATATACAATGTCAAGGGTTCAGATCCCCATACCAGCCAGCTGCCCAAAAAAAAAAAGAAGACCACACTGATAAAACAGATGAAGCGTTCTTCCTCAAAATTACAGGAATTCCAGTGATCTGAAGAGCTTTGTAAGGTTTCAAATATAGCTTGGCAGCCAGATTTCTTAGAATACTGAATATTATGACTCGTAAGTGATATCCTAGGAATGCCCTAATTCTAGTTTTTGTATACCAAATTACAATACTTATAAACCCACTTATATGGTTAATCATAAATATCCTTAACAAGCATCATGAATTTTAGGGAATCATGCATTATTATCTATAAAAACAGTGTGCAGGTCAAGGACAGTTATTTGAGAATTACTACATAAAGCAGTTACTACATTTTAATGATTTTACTATATTTACTAAGAGAACAAAAAGTATTTACTTTTACTGTTGTCATACTTGATCTTAACTTTAACTCTAGACACTCTTCATTTGGACTATGAAGTCCCTGTTTTCATGTAAAAAGTAAAAATAGACTGCATTTTAAACTGACATTTTGGGGCCGGCCCAGTGGTGCACTGCTACAGTGCGCCGCTTGGGAGCACGGTGGCGCTCCCACCGAGGGTTCGGATCCCACATACAGACCGGTTCCCGCTCACTGGCTGAGCGAGGTGCGGGCACAGCACCAAGGGTTGCGGTCCCGTTGCCCATCCCGGTCCTGTACGGGCGCGACACTGAGGGTTGCGATCCGTTGCCGGACACGAAAAAAGACAAAAAGGGAAAAAAATAAAAAATAAAATAAAATAAAATAAACTGACATTTTGGGCTTGGTTGGTAGTTTCAGTTGAGTAAAATACAAACAATTTGATTATACTATCAGAGCTAGAAGATATTTTCTTTTTGGAAGTTGAAGTTTAAAAACTTGATTGTCTGAGGAAGCTTCAATTTGTTCATTCATTTCTGGAATACCAAAAGTGACTTACCTAAATCAATTTGCCTTAGCTCTTGTTTGCAGTGTGCTTGAAGATTCTTAAAATTTCTCAAAGAGGAAGTTTTAGAAAATGCTACATTTAACTTTCTTAGTGGTATACAGTTGGGGCCAGTTTTTTATCATTTTAGTGTTATTCTGCTAAGCAACTCTTGCTAAAAACTGTAATTGTGTTTTCATCATCTTCTAGAATTTATCTTGATCTCAGATGCAAGACGACAGAAAAAAGGACTGGTTCACCAGAATAGCCTCGGGTTCTTAAATAACTCTCCATAATTAAAAAGTTCAATTAGTTTATATCACACAATGATACAAAAGTTTTGTCAATATGATTCTTTGTATACCATTAACCAAACAGCTTCAATAGGTGTTCTAACATGAAATCTATATATTATCTTAAATACTTCACCTCACTTCTCTGGACCTTAATTTTCACTACTGTAAAGTGATGGGGAAAGACAAGATAACCTTTAGGGTGCCTTCCAGCTGAACAGGTGGTATCTGTTCAGCTGTATTTATTCACTGATAGTGTTCTGGGTACATGATGAATCTTTATTTTCTGCTTTTAATATCACACTGCTGGAAAGAACAAAGAGGTCTTTTAGTTCACCTCTGCTTTCTTTCCAGCTAAACTGAGGCCCAGTGAGGTGAAATGATTTGTCCAATGTCATCTAGCTCAGCCTTGGCATACTGCATATTGTATCTGTATATCCTGTATCAAGCCACAAAGACTGGATACAAGTCAGCTATTTCTGTATCTCTTACTTACACTTGTGCATTTGGATTCTACTTTTGACTATAATATTTAACTTGTCTAAATATTTAGAAATCCTCTAAACAGTCCCGGAAATCTCCAGGAGATGAAGATGACAAAGACTGCAAAGAAGAGGAAAACAAAAGTAGCTCTGAGGGTGGAGATGCCGGCAATGACACAAGAAACACAACTTCAGACCTGCAGAAAACCAGTGAAGGGGTAAGGATATGCATGTAATTTCTCTTGTCTTCTATTAATTTAGAAGACATTTTGCTTCAGAATCAGAATCCCTATCTCAGCATTAGTAAACAGTGTGTTAGTAAATGAAGAAGTATTCTCAGCCTATTACATACATTCACTCACCTCTCTGTAATAAGTGACTGAATGCTTAGAGTCTGAGAACAAAAGAGAGCCAGGTGGGAATTACACCTGCCTGTTAATTTGGAACTCAGTGAACAGGTGTATTCTTTTTTAAACTAACTTCAGAATCTTTTTCAGGTAAGGTGTGAAATATTGAAATTTCAAAATGCCATCTCAAAATTGAACGGTTACATTTACTTTTTCACAAAATTAATGGCATGTTCAGAATAGGATATTATATACTGCTGCTGCTTTCTCAGAAGCAATAAATAATTTAATGTATCCATGAGGAATTGAACTATTTAAATATTCAAGTAATATTTGGAAACTGATATTCAAAGTACCCACAGGGACAAATTTATCCACTTTGATTCTTGTTAACTTTTGTTAACCTCTGTTAACTTCAAAGTCACAGAAAAGTCCACTTTTGTAAAAGTGTTAGTGAAAGCAAGTTTTGCCCCTGGGTGTTTTCTGTGAGTCTTTTCTCTATGAAAATTAGTTGGACAGTGTTAAATCATTTTAAGGTAATGGCCTATGAAGTATATTATTATTACTCTTCTGTTAAAATCTGGTTTCAGTTGAGTTCTTGCCTATTCATGTCAATCCTGTTTACCTCTCGACTCTTTCCTCTTTCATCCCAGTTGTCTATAATTACTCCCAAAATATTATGATTCTAATTGTTCTCTTATTCCTCTCACTGGCCTCAGCTTTACTCTGTCCTCTGCCTATCTTCCTTCTCTTGGGTTTTCTCCAATAAATAGTCCTCTGTCATTAGTTTTGCCTGTAGCCTTCCCAGGGACATACACCTGCTAACAGTCACTGAGGGCTTCAATTCCTGGATCACTTGATTTTCTTTTTATCCTACTTGCTACCTTCATCCCATGTAGCTTCAGTTTGCAAATAGCAAAAACTCCCATAATTTCTCTCTCCTTTATTACCAAAATTATTTCTAGATGCACTTCTTGTGACAGAGGAAGAGTTGTTCTACACCCTTACAACTCAAGAGTGTGGACAAGTAGCATCGACATCACCTGAGCTTTTTAGAAAGGCAGAATCTCAGGCCCTCTCAAGACCCCAGATTCTGAATCAGAATCTGCATTTTAAATAAACGCCCAAATAATTCATATGCACATTAGTTTGAGAAGCACTGATGTGTACCTTTCTGTTGCCAAAGTCCGGTCTTACTTTTTTCAAGGCACACTCAATCAGTTGTCCCCTTTCTCTCCTATACCTGTATCTTCTCTCCTTCCCCTCTGCATGTAAACAGTCTCATGTCTCCCTTAATCTTGAAGATACCTCCCTTCAACCATTTATCCTACCCTTTTTACCTTTCTCTTCATCCTTAAACTTCTTTAAGAGTTCTCTTTTCTCCCAGTCTTCATTTCCTCACTCCTACTCATGACTTTTAACCCATTGCACTCTTGTTTTTTCTTTGATGATTGCATCGAAACTGCTCTTGTAAAGGTCCTTAGTGATCTTCTCATTGCCAAATTAAGTATCTCCTTTAATCTTCATTTTCACCTCTGCAGCATTTAATATTGTTAGACACTTTCTCCTCCTGACTTCCTGCAGGTCACCAATCTCTTCTGCTTCCTCTCCTTTCTTTTCATTCTCTTTCTAGAGCTCCTTTCTTCAGTCTGGCTTAGCACACTTCTACTCTGAAAACTTACTGCGTCCATCTTATCCACTCACATAGTTTCAACAATTATATATTACTGATTACTTCCCACTGTGTTTCTCCTGCATTGTAGATTCATTTTTTTAAAACTGCTAATGAAGACCATTCCTGCTTAAATATATTGAAAACACCTCAGAAAATAGTAGTTGCTATTAGATAACAACAGCAGCCTGTGTGTCACAAACTATGCTGTGCAAGGAGAGGGTTAAAGTATAATACCCTCAGAACTTAATTTTTGAAGCAAGCAAATTCATACAACTTACAAAAAGTTTGACTGAAAGAGTAACTTACATACAGGAAAAAGTCTCATGCAGTAAAAGAATCAACCATCAATAGCAGATGAGAACCCTCCCTCTCTGCCTTGTAGGTAAGGCTTATATAGCATAACTTCAAAGAAATAGTTTAAGAAAAATAAGTTTCCTGAAGTATGGAGCTTGTGCTTATGAGCAGAATAACTGACGCCAGGGGTTGTAATAAGTCACCTAGTCCATAAGCCCTCTGTTCCTGTAATGCTTGCAAAGGAATGAGGTTTCAACAGGAGTCAACATGGCAGGCAGGACACAAGATGACATTAGTCCTCTTCACTTTCTAATATGTGCTTAATGTTGTGTGTGCATTATCTCATTTAATCCATACGCAAATCCTAGGAGGTAGGTGCAGGTATTGTCTCCATTTTTTTTAGCTGGAGAAACTGAGGCTGAAAGAATTGCCCTGGGTTCACAAAGCTAGTAAGAGCCAGAGTGGGGAACAAGAGCCTGAGATCCTTTTATTTTTAATCTATTTTTAATAATATATTTGTTTTGACAAAAGAATGTATATATAATATAAATATAACATGGTAAAGCATAGTACTACAATGAATACCAGTGACCCTACCACTCAACCCAAAAACTAGAACATAACAATTAATTTTTATCTATTTATATGTTCTTCCCCAGTCCCATCTTCTTTCTACCCAGAGATGAGCACTAATTTGTATTTACTATTTCCTTTTATTTTAAAATTTTTAGACCATACCTAACATTTAGGTTGAGACTTCAACAAAAATTAATTTTGGTGGTGTTTTTTGTTGTTGTTGTTGTTGTTTTTGAGCTTTTTAAAAAATGGGAACATTTACTTACCACTATGCCTCTAAGATTCCTTCATATTGTTATGTGTAGCAGTTTATTCATTTTTCACTACTGTATAGTATTCAGTTTTATGAATATACCGTTTATTTACCCAGTCTCTTATTGATGGATATTTGGGTTGTTTTCAGCTTTTTGCCTTTATGAGCTGTTACTGTGAGCGTTCTCATATTTGTCTCCTACTACCCATGTACAAGAGCTTCTTTGTGTATATAACTAGAACTGAAAATACTGAGTTTATGGTTTTTAACTTTACAAGGTAATGCCAAATTATTTTCCTAAGTAGTCGGACCAATTTATACTCCCACCAGCAGTGTATAAGAATTCCCTGTGATTCACTTGGCATCATGACTTTTTAATTTTTGCCAATATATAGTGGGTATAAAATGGTTATTATAGTGTTAACTTACAATTCTCTTAATGATAAGTTTGAGCTTCTTTTCATATGTTTATTGACCACCCATGTGTCCACTTCTGTACAGTGCTTAAGTTTTGGTTTTTGACCAATTTCCTATTGGGTTTTTTTCTTATTGACTTGTAGGGCTTCTTTACCTATTCTGGATTGTAACTAACATGGATGGTCATATGCCTTACAAATATCTTCTCCAAGTTTGTGGTTTGTGTGCTCAATTTCCTTCCAATTGTTTTAGTGAACAGACTTTCTTAATTTCATGGTAGTCAGCTGTATCAAACTTTCCTTTTCATGGTTAGCAATTTTCTGTCTTTTTTAAGCATGACCATTTGAACCAGCACCATTTATTAAATAGTCCCTTTTCTTCTCTCTGATCTTTGCACATCAGCCGTCTGTTATATATCAATGGGTCTCTCTCTCTGGGTTCTGTATTCTGATCTTTTGTCAGTGCCACACTCTCACAATTATAGTAGCTTTTTAGTGAACCCTGATATCTTGTAGGGCTAGTAGCCCAATCTTAAATTTCTTTTCAAATATTCAAAACTCATGGTCTGGGATAGAAGATCAAGGAGGGACTTTTTTCCTTGACGGGATAATTTATAACACATAGGCTGATGAGAATGATCCAAGTGAGGAATGATCACAAAATGATAATGTAAGAAGGAATTATAAGACAATATTCTTTACAAGGCAAGTATAAAGCAGTATCCTTTACAAGGCAAGAAGTCATACGATCTAGTGCATATGTAGAGGGGTTACCTTAGTTCTTCCGTTGCAACAGGGAAGGCAGAGTATTTAGGCACAAATACGGATAAGTAAATATTTGGGGTGAGAGCTTGTAAAAGTTCTCCTCTGATTGCTTCTGTTTTGTTTAGGAAATAGGGCAGTATTTGAGAGTGAGAACAGGAAGAAGTATTGGAAGCTTCAAGAGAGGAAAAGGTATAAATTAGTCTCTTAGAAAAACAGAAGAGTGATTGGCCTTAGGAAATGAAGTTGAATTGCCAGGAAGCAGTAAGGGCCCACTTGAGGCTAGTGGTCATGAATTTAAAATGAGAGCAGTCAGAATGGTGGTGTGTTTTTCAGGCATATTCAATTGTGCAGTCACAGAGAGGGCAGAGAATTAAATTTAACTAGAATTGGAGTTTGCCCAGAGAGTAAAAGTAAAGGAGATTAGAGGCCAGGGAGTTGAGTGTGTATGTGAGGGAGTGATTATAGCAGTGGACCATGGAATCCAGAATATGTTAAGAGGCAAAGATGGATATGAGAGAGATAGAATCAACAGATTTTGAGTATCAAAGAATTACTGGAGTAGGAATACCAGGTAGAGGAGTAAGCTGGAAGTATAGGTGGTGAATCAAATTGCAGACAGGTTACAGTAGTTGTAATGACAGTGCAGGTATTATTGGTGTTTTGAGTGCGGCACTTCTTCATTGTATGAGCACTATTCACATTACAGGACTTTTAGTACCCTTGGCTCCTGCCCATTAAATGCCAGTAGAACCCCCAAGTTCTTATGACAATCTAAGATACCTCCATGATTTTGCCCGCAAAACAGTAGCTTAAAACAGTATTTTCAAATAGTCCCAGTGGTTGTGAATCACTTGTCTAAGAAATAATCATGAGAGTAAATGACTGAGGTAGG